TTGCTTTGCAACGAGCTTTGCTCTAGTTATTATTATTATTGTTTTTTTTCTTACCGATTTTGTGCAGGCGATTTCTCGAAAACGGCTCGATAGATTTTCATGAAACTTTCAGGACTGATAGAACATCAAACAAAGCTGATATATAATATTTTGTTTTGATGACGTCACTTCCGGTTTCGAGATTTTCGCGATTAAGTGATTTTCAGGGGGTCTCATTGTCCACCATTTTTCTCGAAAATTACTTAAGACAGAAAGTTGAAATTTTCAGCGATGATAGAGCAACGTGTGCTCTTTTGTCACACACCACTCTTTTTCTCCGGAAGTCCCGCACGTCGGCGCTCGCTATGGCTCTAAAAAAGTCCTATCGAGGATTTAGACATTTTTTACACCTTTTCTGCAATATCTTTTTACATGTTAACAATTTGTAAAGACATATATAACAAAAGTTGTAGAGAATGTCACGATCTTTCAAAAAATATCAACGACAAAGGGCTGGCCCCTATGATTAAGGGCCAAAAGGGGCCAAAAGTTTTCCTTTATATCTCAAAAAGTATTGAGAATTTGTAATACGTCAAAGAAGCAAAGTTGTTCAAAATGTAAAACTCCATCCATTGGCGTCGTCAAAATACGTCCGGCGACGTCACTTCCGGTCAAACCGGAAGTAGTCAAAAATTGCATAGTTTTGCTGTTTTTGGCAGGCTTTTGGATAACATATGTCACCAGAAGCTTAAATCTTATTTTTCCGTCCGTCGACGTCACTTCCGGTCAAACCGAAAGTAGCCAAAAATAGCTTATTTTGAAGGCTTTAATGCAAAATTGAAATTATAAAGTCATTGGAGACTACTTGGCTCATAGCTTTCTTTTGTTCACGTCACTTCAGGCACTTCCGGTCAAAACCGGACGGAAGACCTACTCGTTGCTTTGCAACGAGCTCGGCTCTAGTTAAGGTCTTCCGTCTTCAGCGGAAGACCTTCTTGTTATTCGTTTGTTTCTTTTCCACTGTTTTTCTTATCATTTTCTTACCGATTTTGTGCACGCGATTTCTCAAAAACGGATCGTTAGAATTTTATGAAACTTTCAGGTCTGATAGAACATCAAAAAATCTCGATACGCTTTTTTTTATTTTGATGATGTCACTTCCGGTTCGGAGATTTTCGCAGTTTTGTGATTTTTAAGGGTCAGTTTGTCCGTCGCTCTTCTTAAAAACCGCTCATCACAGGAAGATGAAACCTTTTCAGGAAGATAGAGCAACACATGTAGATTTGCATTGTGTTGTTAACTTTCACCGGAAGTGCTGCAAGTTAACGCTCGGTATGGACTGAAAAAAGTCATATTGAGCGTTTCAAAATTTATAACACTTTTTCTAATATATCATTTTACTTATAAATATTTTGTTAAAACATATAGAACAAAAGTTGTAAAGAATTCTGAGATCTTTCAATTGACATATCGAAAAAAGGGCTGACTCCTAAAATAAGGGATCTAGAGGGGCCACAATTTTTAATTGATATCTCAAAAAGTATTGAGAATTTGTAATACGTCAAAGAAGCACAGTTGTTCAAAATGTCAAGCTTAATCTATTCGTGTCGTCAAAATACGTCCGACGTCGTCACTTCCGGTCAAACCGGAAGTAGTCAAAAATGCGTACTTTTTGCCGTGCTTGTCAAGTTTTTGGGTAACATATGTCTCTGGGAGCATAAAAATTAATTTTCCGTCCGTCGTCATCACTTCCGGTTAAACCGGAAGTAGCAAAAATTTGCATAATTTTGCATTAATTAACATAGCTTTTAAGGATTCAAACCATTTTTAGGCGTTATTTCTCATTTTTGTTAAAAATGAAAACTACTTCCGGTCAAACAGGACGGAAGACCTACTCGTTGCTTAACAACGACCTCGGCTCTAGTTCTTATTATTTTTTTCTTCCTGGGAAAATTTTGTCCGCGAGTGATCTTGTAAACTACACATCCGACTTAGGTGAAACCTTTTTAGGGTAAGTAGGCATGTTATGTAGATTTGCGGAATCATGGTCATTTTGCGCGCACGTGCTTGCAAGAGCGCGCACGTGCAAAACTTAAAATGACCAATATAATATGAATATAACCGTAACTTTTCTATTTTGTGACGAAATGTTTTGAAACTTATAATGTAAGGATAAATTAGTAGTAAGCATAAGATGACATGGTCAAAATAGCAAGATCGCACGCGCATGCACGTGCGCTTCGCTCTGATTGGCTGAAACTAAAGTCTCAATATCTTTTTTGTTTTTTGATAAAATCATTTGAAATTTTGAACATAGTCATATATTAGGGAGATCTACAGCCTGTATTATAAGATTTATCATGTAAGCATGTGCATGCACATGTGCTTGCAAGAGCTCGCACGTGCAACACGAGAAATGTCCAGTATAATTGATACAGACGTAACTATTTAAATTATTGATGAAATGCTTTGAAACTCATATTATAAGTATATATTAGAAGCATAAACAAAATGACATGGTCAAAAAAGTAAGATCTCACGCGCATGCACGTGCGCTTCGCTCTGATTGGCTGAAACTAAAGTCTCAATATCTTTCTTGTTTTTTGACGAAATCCTTTGAAATTTTAAACATAGGCATGTATTAGGATATCCTACAATAAGATTTATAGCAATTATCATGAAAACGCGTGCATGCACATGCGCTGCAATCTGATTGGCTTATGCTTTAAATAGCTTTAACTCCCTAGGTTTTCAACCAAACAGGATGGGATTTGGAACATAGATAGATATAATGGACTTCTACAAGATGGTATGGTCATCCTGCACATGCATACACGTGCGTGTACGTGCACTGCAATCTGACTGGCTGAAACTTTAAACAGCTATAACTCCCTTGGTTTTCAACCAAAGGGGGTGGGAATTAGAACATAGATAGATGTAGTGGACCTCTACAGGAAGGTATGCCATCATGCTCATATATGCACGTGCTTCTACGTGAAATGAGTAAAATCAGAAGTACAGTTTAATGAGCGTATTTTTTTTTTTTTATACTTTTTGATTAAATACTTTAATATTTAGTATATTAAAATATATAGATTGTATAGACAAGATGATATGGTCTTTACGCACATGCATTCACATGCGCACGCGTGGAATTCTAAAATTTGAATTAACTTGGTACTTTCTGGGTAAATGTTGTTAAAGCCTCAAATGCATAGAGTTTGTCTTATTTAATGAAGCTTACAGGGAATGTGGCACCAAAAGAAAGTTGGGGAGCGTTTGGGGAACATCTGTAACGGTCCCCGTTACAATTAGCACTAGTTCTTGTATACTTTAACTTCCTAACGTACTTGAGAAGATGCGTTTTAAAGATTTTTCCGACATATATTTCTATGTAAAATTTGATTGCCCATTATGGCCCCACCTTACCTCCAGGGGTAATGATATGAACAAACTTATTAATATCACCAATTATAGCTTTGCTGATCTTGAGAAGAAGATTTTAAAAAGATTTTTCCTATGTAAAACTTTGATCAGCCATTGTGGCCCCGCCCTACCCCCGGGGATCATGATTTGAACAAACTTGAATCTACACTACCTGAGTATGCTTCCATATTAGTTACATTTTTGCTTGCCCATTGGTTTACGAGAAAAAGATTTTTAAAAAAGTTTTCCTATACATGTATATTCTTATGTATAACTTTGATCAGCAATTGTGGCCCCGCCCTACACCTACATTCTACACTACCTGAGGATGCTTCCATATAACTTTCATTTTTCTTGGCCCAGTGGTTCTGGTGAAAAAGATTTTTTCAAATATTTTTCCAATATATTCCTATGTTAACATCTGATCAGCCATTGTGGCCCCACCCTACCCCCGGGGGTTATGATTGGACTAACTTGAATCTACACTACCTGAAGATGCTTTCGCATGAGTTCCATTTTTCCTGGCCCAAAGATCTTTAAAAGATGCCATTAATTTTTCATTAATTCTTAATTATCCCTTGGAAAAGGGCTTGGTCTTTCATTTGAACAACCTTTAATTCCCTTCACCCACGAATACTTTGTGGCAAGTTTGGTTGAAATTGGACCAGTGGTTCTTGAGAAGAAGATGAAAATGTGAAAAGTTTACGACAACGATAAATACTGCTACGACAGACAACGGACAAATTTTGATCAGAAAAACTCACTTGAGCCTTTGTCTCAGGCAATCTAGAAAGTTCTCTAGGAAATGAACTTTTAGTTGGTTACGTTATCAAATCCTATGAGGCCCGAAGGGCTTCTCAGTAGATTTTATGACGAACTAACTAAAAATTCATTTCATAGTGAATTCTTCAAACATTGGTGTTTATTACTTATATTTACATTTGAAACGAATTAATATCGAGTAAAAATGCCTTTATTACACGAACGGGCCTCCGTATTGCTATATTGTAACGCACAATGACCTAGGGGGCCTAGAAGTTGTTTGGTTTGAAAGTTCGTGTCGCTCCAACATTTGAATATTTACAATGATATTCAGCAGCCCATTTCAGAAATTGTGTGTTTATAATGTAAGAACAATGATCCCTACTGAGAATAATCTTACTATTTTGTGAGTTTTAATATATTTGAGTCAAAAGCGGTAATATCCCCTGTTTTAGTTAACATAACATCAAAAGAATTTCGGGTTAAAAAGGTAAGTCCAAATTAAGGCTGTAATTATAGTATTTAAAACATTCTTCACACCACAGTAAGATCCACTGAAAATCTGTTGAATAAAAATAGCTATACGTGTCGGTTATTTTACCTTTTTCGCTTTTAACTTGGTAGTTCCGAAAACAGACAGAAATATATGTAAACAAGATATCATTTCGCCGAGCGATTCTGTCACCTTATGACCTCTGATCCCAAATAAAGTTAATACAGAACTAAACATATTTTCTCTTCAAGGGTTCAGCTAAGAGAGATTTAATGCAAATGTAAATAAAAAGATTTGGCTAGCTAAAAGAATTAGTTTCGAGTTATATGTTTATACGTACCTTTTAAATGTAAGTCCAATGACGCTATCAGAGAATCTGGGCAAAGAAAAACCAAATCTTCAAATCGATATTTAATGGTTTCACATCGTGATAAATATGAAAAGATAAATTTTCCATCAACACATCATTTTTACAATATCTAATAGTTAGAATTAGTAGTTAAATCGGAAGCATAAGTCTTTATTGTTTGAAACTGAAAAGACTCACGAAGACTCGGTAACATTAAAGGAACCGCCATTAATCCAAGCATTTTCCTTCATGTTTTTATAGGCTGAAATAAAAACCAAAATACGTTCGTTTTTTATATAAAGTGATTGTTTGCTATAAGTACAAATAATATTTCAACAAAAAATATCAAGTACTGTAAATCACTCTTCATTCATGAGAACGCGTAATTACGCGAGACGGTATGCTCGCGAAGATATCATTCTCGTGTAAAATAGAAATCCTTGACCACAATTCGTGAAAATTTTGTTTTGCTATTAAAGAGTCAATGACTCTTTTCCCAAAATAAGGTGTCGCGAAAATTCAGCGACACAGTAACACTTGCCTGTGAGTTTTCTAATGGTCACCATTTTGGCCCCGGATTCTGAATCTTTTGGGTCATTCCAGGGTTCATAAAGATTACTCGGTCCAAGAATACCGTTAGGTAGCAAGATATTATCAATGAATAAACCACTCTGTCAAAGAAAATAAACATTAAACAAAATAAACTATTCCTTTAGTTAAAAGTAAATATGTTCGTATGAGGAAAAACAACATTAATCTATGCATTCTAACGATTCACAATTCTTTTTCATAATGAGATTCTTCAGCTACCATGATAATAGTATGCAGTTTGGAATTAAAATAACCATAAAACAGTGATTAACTTTATCTTTTGAAGATATTTTTATTGAAGTTACCTTCCTGTTTGAATGGGCAACGTTGTTGTCGAATTCAAATATTGCAGTATGCATGGCTTCATATTTATCCATGAAGCCAAGGCCTGCTGAGGGACCTATAGGTGTGTTTGGGTAGACAAACCAGAATCCGTGTGCCTACAAACAACAAAACAAGCATATTTTAATTGGTTTATGAACTGATAATTTCTTTATTTTATTTTTCTCTCAATCAAAATTTGAAATAACATAGTTTTCAAAGGTAAATCAGTATGAATCATCTACACTACACACAGCCATTCTTAATGATGAATTAAATAGAAGACTTTTTGATATCATAGAAACTACTTTTTCAAAAATGATGTAGCATTGAAATGTTATTTAATATCTTTGTTGTTTGATTTTTGTTTTGTTTTTTACCAAACTTTTTAAAAAAAATATTCTACACCAAGTACTCTTAGGTTGATATTAAAGGGATGGTTGAATTCTTCAAAAACTACTTATACGATGGATTAAGTCTTGGAGATAGGAATTTCAACAAACTACATGTATTAAAATTGCTATATGTTCTGATTATAGTCCTTTATTATTCCTTTTTTTAAATTCTTATGAGGCAGAATTTATTCAAAAGCATCTTCCTGATAAAAGAAAACATTTGATGCAGCCTTCAAATACAATATTTGTATGCTTTGTAGTATAGGTAATATTTTTCTTTTCAAATTAAGAATTATTTACAAGGTGTAAAAGATAGTTTAAACGTACCAATCTTTTGTGGATGACCTATATCTGTATGATACCTAATACATGAATTTCCACATTATTATATCCCTTGCTAATGGATGATTTGTACGTACCTCTTCGCCTGCAGCCACGTTGTTTCTGACGTATGTCTGCGGATTTGTTATCCAAAATGTTGTTGGATTCCTGAATTATATCAAAATAGTAGAGAAATTAATTCTAGTATCAAAGGTTCATGTATATGTGAAATCTGTGAATATGCTGGAGTAAATGTTCATGTTTTTTCTGAATTTGAATTCACATTAAATTTCAAAGACTTTCTGACTAACATGTCGGAATGAATGAGTTTCCCTCTCCGTTGTCCCGCTCCTAGATTACCATCTAAGACAGTCTTTTTCTCGCCTCCATCTTCCAAAAAATATCCATGACCAAGGGTGTTAAAGCAGAAATTGTCTTTAACCTAAGTAAACAAAACCGTTAACAGCCATTATCTTTACAGAACACTCTGGATATTATATTTAGGCATTTAACTTTAATTTGTAATATTTAATGAAAACTTTAGTTTCTTAAAATATGGTGTGTTTTTTTTCAAAAGTAGGCAAAGGGAAGTATCTTTTATTCTACATGTATCAAAACACTATATAGGAACAAAGATATTTTCTGATGAATATTGTCTTTGTAGAGGTATAACAGTAATGTTAGACATATACAAACTGTGCTAATGAAGTATCAGGCAAGTTATATTTTTTTCAAACAATTAATACCATTACTTAATTTTTTACAAGTTTTATAGAAACGTAAAACGTAACGAAAATTCATGTGAACACACACAAGTATTCGGAGTTTAAAAGCATTTAGAATTGATATCATGTGTGATTCTTGTGGGAATATAGCTTATGAATAAGGTATGCTCATATAATTCTACAATTCTTCTTAAAATAAAAGCAGACTGTGTGTTTACTTGCCGATCAGCAGTTCGTAACAAAAAGATGCAAAAGTTCAACACTACGCCGCATACTTTGAAACTTAATTTTTTGTTTCTATCTAACGTTCTTATTCTTTTGTTTTCGGAAAGTGCTGCGTATGGTTAACGGGAATTGATGCATTTTTTGATTTTATGAACAAATAGTAAAAAATAAGAAAGGTTTTGTCAGAAAGTGTTAAATAATTATTCCTGTGATCGGACAGTGGGATTCTATCAGGATTATCATGGTACAGAGATTTTTTTACATAACTATTGTTACAAATTGAAATGAAACTTTTCACTTTTTCAATAAGGCATATTTTCTAATTATAGACGTCACATGGTGACGTTGTGGTGTAGTGCTTCCTGTAGTATAAGTCCCATTGAGGTCTATAGAATGCATAATGACAGCAACAGTTTCATCCACGATTTTTCCGATTTATCAATGTAACATATTATAAAAAAGTGTTAATTCGCCGAATTCTGATCCGTGGACTGCCCTATCAAACCCGCGTAGTATTATTGAAATAAGATCAAAACTTTAAGAGGAGTAGAGTTTTGAAGAAATTCCAAAGAAATTTCTATATTTATTTAGTAACCATGGCAAAACTTTAAATCAAAATCCGATGTACTAAATTATGTGACATTGTGTAGTATACTAGACCAAAATTGTTATTAGGGGTAGCATCTTGAAGGAACTTTCAAAAAATGTCCATCTTTTCTAACTGTAGCAAAAATATTCATCAAATTAAAATCTGATGCATTTAATTGTGAATTTTACTGTAGTCTTCTTGAATGCCAATATATATCGAATTCAGACCAAAACTGTAGGAGTAGTAGCGTTTGAAGTAATTTCAAAGAATTTTCTATTTTTAGTAACCATGTCACCACCATTCATGAAAATCAAAAACCGAGGCACTTAATTACGTATTTCAGTGTAGCCTACGTGTGTGCCAAGTTGTATTGAAATAAGACCAAAACTGTAGAAGGAGTAGCATTCTTTACAGACAAAGAAACAGCTAGACAGACGAATGGACGGACACACGGATAGACAATCTTACTACTAGTATTTCAAATAAGCTCTTCCGGTGTCTGACCAGTAGAGCTAAAAATATACCTACCTGAGCGCCATGACTGCCATGTACTGTGATACAACGAGCAAAGGAATTGTGAATACTGTTTCCGCTTAAAAGTGACGGCTTGGTTCTGTCATCTACATCTTCACACATATGGAAATGTAAAGGATAATTCCCTACGGATTGGAAAAAAGCAAATAATAAGCCACATTTGTTAAATTATATATTAATATTTTATTGAAGATGGCAGTTAGTATAAAATTTTATGAGATGATTTAACTATCAAGAGAAGATGCAAATTGTCTAATACCAAACGCTTTTTCGTATGAAATTTTTTGTCAATAAATGCACCTGTTTCAACTTGATTAGATGTCCGTGTTCAACAGGAACCTACTTTTTTCAATTAAGCACATTTTTTGGAAATCATTGCAAGGCTAATTAGTATTTTGTTGTAAGTTGTTTGTTTTAAGTGGAGATTTTAAGCAAAAAACTGGTAGACATGTTACTCAGTTAAGTTTTGATATAGATGTATTCTGTTTAAAAATAAGTGTACAGAGTAATACCTAGTGAGGTCTGTTGTCCCATTCGGTTTAATTCGATATTCTTCACCTGTACTGTCTTAAATCCTTTCATAAACTGCAAATATTAAAACCCTTCATACATATACCTGTACATATGCATGGAATAAAGCTTAATACTTTATAAATATTTACTAATGCAGTTACAGCAGCTACTAATAAATGTCAAATTGTTAATACCTATTTCAGAGAAGCATTGAATAAATATGAAACTGCATCAAATATTTAGAAATCTATCAAACACAAACGATAAAACTTCATCGAATAAATTGAAATGAATCTTTAAAAAATGAGAACAATGGACCTATTCGCACTAAGAAATTAAAATTACTCAAGTGCTCGCAGATTTTGTTACATTTTTTGCAATTGAGTAAACCGCACCTTTTAGGAAAGATATACTTCAAAGGTTACCCTTAGTACTCATGATCAGTAAAAAAAAATGTTTGTCAAGTGTAGTAAACATAAATTAAATCATTTTGGTGTCTTCCACCACAAGCCAGATTAGACGGCATCAAATAACAATTAGAATCAAAATCCATACACTACTACATCATTTTCCCGGACTTCTGAGGTTTATATAAAAAATACAAAGTACACTTGGTAAAGAACAGGGTCCGCCGTCATGAAACTGAGAGAATTCTCAAGAAAAATTCTCAACTTAACTCTTGAGAGTATATAAATAACTCAGCTGAGAATTTGAGAATAAAAGAGTTTAATTAAGGTATTTTTGTTTTTCTCAACTATTTTATGACGGCCGCTGAGTCTGAGAATTTTGGATTTGAGAAAATTCTCAGACTTGAGACCATTCTCAGACTTAAGCATATTTTATAACAGCGGACCCAGGACCGATTATATGCAATTCTTTTTATACCATTTATATTTTAGAATATGAGAGCATGACAAATGAAATGAGTAAACAGCAATATACCTAACTTTCGAATTAAAAGTTTTATCAACTGACCTTTATGTGTCCACCAATCTCCCTTCCCTTCCTGTCGGGTCCTCCTTCGATTAATATGTTTCGGTTGACCAAAGCAATTTCACCGCGCATATCTACGTTCTTGTATATTTCACCAAAATGAGTGAAATCTGGCTCAACTATATGAAAACAGATATAGAGATAACGAACAGTATTCTGTATCAAAGTCCATAAAACCATACAAAAAGGAGCAGAGCAAACATGGACCTCTGAACCATCAGAGATGGGATCAGGTGCCATGGAGGAGTGAGTGAAATAAAACGCTTTAATTAAGAAATTTAAAGATAACTTTGTGTGAAGATATTATAAAATCATAAATTTTCAAGTCTTGAGGAAAAAATATTGGTTTGTGGGAATTTAATTTCGTGGTTGGACATTTTTCTAGTACTAATACTCATGAAATTTTACATTTTGTGGTGGTTATAAATTCTTGGGTCTCCCCATACCTCGAAAACAACCAAAAATTAACCCCCATAAAAATTAGTGATTCTACAGTATATACAAGGGTTGTTTGAAAAGTTCCTGGTGTCAATTTTCGTAATTTTACTAACTAGAAATTTAAAATGAGCACAATATATGTGTAAAAAATATTTATTTTGTTGATGTGCGAAGTTTTATTCCATTGAATTTGGTTTGGAGGTCCGTGTTTGCTCTGCTCCTATTTTGTATTGTTTAATGGACCTTTGATCTTGAATACTGTTTGTTATTTTATTTAACAGAAATCATTTTACTTCATTTTAAAATCAACATGTTTGTACCAACGGAGCACACTTTACGGAATGTAACGTCAAAACATAGAGTCAAGAATATCTAAAAAACAAAAAAAAAAAAAAAAAACACTATCCCTATACATTTCACACAGTATCATCCAATGCACACTCATTAAATCCTTTAGGTAATACTTGACATTAATTTTTTTTAGAATTTTTCTCATTTTATAATTTCCTTTTGTTAATGTTCTAATTTCTTTCATTACTTAACTCTGTTTTTTCGGAATAAGCATCTCTGAAGCACCAATGTCTTTCCTTGACTTTTCAGCTTTTTTTAAAGCTTTTGTTCACATTTTACACTTAAACCGTTTTTTCATAAATTGTCCTTATCCGATACAGAGTCTCTATCACTTAAATACTGTCTGTGCTATTTGTACACACATGCACAACTCGCTTGTGATATATTTTTTTATTCCTCCAACATTTTTAGAGTCTACTCAGGGTTTTTCCTAGCTGAGTAAAACACAAAATTTCATCGTTATCCTTTCTTAAACGTCATCGTTTTTTTTTTTTTTTTTTTTTTTGTCGTTTTAATGAGAACTGTCTATCTTCTCAAGGTGATTTCTTTTCATAATTTTGGCTCCATTATACGCACTTTATTTAGCGTATTGTTTGTAACTTACTAATTTTTGGACCTGATCTGCGATCCGATTTTTGCATTTCATAAATCTTGATAAATTTAAAAATAAATAGTGATATTTTAATTAAGAAATAAGGTATCATTTTTTGAGTTTTATTGAGATGTAAAACGGGTTGGTCACGTGATCAAATCCCATAAAGCCCGAAGGGCTTTATGGAAGATTTGATCATGTGCCAACCCGTTTTACATCTCAATAAAACCTCAAAAAATGATACCTTATTACTTACATTTACATTTGTGACTTATTCATACTTTATATATGCCTGATTGTTACTTTTAACCTTACTAAATGCCTTAATTTTTCAAACCCAACGGCATGTATGTAATCCACTAAACGCGCGTCGACCGTTTATGACGTCACAGAGAAATTACGTCGAACGTTTATCCAAACGCACATCTATGACCTCTTGACCCCATACCTGTATTTACACAGTTATAAAAACGCTTGCCTTTAGTAGTGTTATATAAAGGAAAACATTTGCAAATGTAAATATAAACAAATATTAAAAATCATTTGGATTAATTGTTAAAATTATTTCTACCAAATTTGGATAACATAAGACTTCAAATAAAATAGATATGATGGAAGTCCATGAAATTTCGAACAATCCTCATACATACACCATATACAAAGATATCATTCTTACTGTTTACTTGGATTTGGTTAGAGGTGCAAGCTGGACAGTCCACTATTGTCCCGAACTCTGTCTGTTTCCAGTCAAAGTCAGTGGACATCAGTGCAACAGTATCGCCTGTAATAGAATACAAATGTTTTCAAGAATACAGTCGTAAATAAACTTAACTAAAAGAAACACAACCAGATTTAAACAAAAGCTCATTTTTCTAGTCTGAGATCTAAGATGTATTAGAAATAACATCTAAGGCCTGTTCAGCAGAGCAAACGTTCGCCAGCGCTCGCGAACATTTCTATTGGAGGTTTAAGGAATTTTGCCGAGCGCTCGCGAACATTTCTATTGGAGGTTAAAGGAATTTTGGCGAGCGCTCGCGAACGTTCGCTCTGCTGAACAGGCCTCAGGTATGGACTTTTAAGAAAAATCATTCATTTTAGAATGAGAACTCAAACTTTTTAAATCAGTTAAGATCATTTAATCCCGCTCATTTTGTTCCTTTTGATTCCTAAATCCTTTGAGTTTTAGCTTTCAGCTTCTTAATAAAAAAGACTCCTGCTACGTACAGAAATGTAACAAAAAAAAAGATTCTGGGAAAAGAAATACCAGTGCGCCATGTTTCCGTGTTGTCTACAACATTGATAACGGGGAGGGATAACTGAGTTAAGCTGGACTTGGCGCGGGAGTAGCATAGACCTCTCTTGTTTGTGTGAACCCAGCTACGTACTCCAAATTTGATGCTGTTCTCCGTGTGGTACAGCTCAGCGATGCGTACATCTTTTCCATCATCATTCAGGAGAAGTTCCTTGGTAGTTGCATCGGTGCCTGTGTTCGAGAAATTTATTTTAGCTTATATATTCAAAATATATCTAAATTTAAAATTTAATGGTACAATATATTTGATGTGACTAATATGACTAAAATTGAAGATTAATAGAATCATTCATTACTACGACTGTGGGATTGTGAAATTCCACCGAGGGGACAAGATTCACAGTCTAGGACGAGGGTTTGCCGAGTCCTAGACCGTGAATCTTGGCCCCGAGGTTGAATTTCACTTTTCCCACTCGAGTATGTAATGAATGTCTTTATATGATTATTTTTCTCACATTGTTTTATCCAAAATAATGGCCTGTCAATGACGTTGCCATAGGGCTAAAAATATATTCTTTTAATTATCCATCTAATCTAAATACACCATCGGAGAGAGCGTACCTAATAATTTTAAAATTGAATTTCAGTCCATGTAAATTAATTAGATAGATTAAAACTTGTAATAAAAAGCTTATCTATCCGATAGCGTAAACATTCATTCTAGAAGAATTCTTCCGCGATCTAAATATAGTGCCATTTAAAATGTAAAAATACGACAATATTTAAAATGAAAATAAGTTTATTTTAATAAGTTAAATGACAACATTTTAATTTTATGTGTTATTTTTTAATATTGTTACAATTTCTTTAAATCAAGACAGAAAAATCTCACACTGCTGTCTCACACCGGACAAGTCAATCTAACACTGGTAATTGTGCGAGAAATGTTACTACCGATTGAAACAGATGAATTTGTTGTTGTTGTTTTCGTATTTCTGCATAACTTTTAGTTTTTAAATGATGTAAATTTCTTGATGAATTTTTCTGCTCGTATTGATATGTTGAAAAAATAATGTAGTAGAATTAATTCTTTATCTTTGTTAAAACTTAAGAAGGCTAGGGGGTCACACAAATTAGCAACCAGATATAACTTAATTTTTAGATGTGATATCTTAAACTGTCAACTATCATTTGGCCAAGATAAATGTTAGTTTTAAAATATCATCATTTTATTATATCTTTATATGGAGCTCTTCTTCTAAAGGAGATCAAAATAGTTTAAAAATGGCCACAACCACCCAGCCCCTTTAACACAAAACTGACGTAAGAAAATGTTTTAACCTTGTTTCTTGATGAGCACCCAAGCTCCGTGGAACTTGTAGTCTCTGAACTGTAGAGATGATTTGTCTACTGTACCATAGGCCCACTCCTCTAGCATATCAAACAGTCCAGACGGGTCTACTTTCTCCACCCTAAATCGTCTCTTCAATGCTAATGCTACTATTTTTCCTGCCGGAACATCTATCGGTAAAATAAGTAAATTACATTTTAAAAAGGATGTAAATCAAGCTTATAAATGAAATAAATGAAATTCAAAATGAAAAATGGAAAAGAAAACTGATAACTATTGATTGGAAATATTATGACAATTTCAAGATTTTAAACAATCTTCTTTCCTTTTTTTCCAATTGTTCCCCGATTCGATTTACGTTTTTATTTTCAAAAAAAAAAACGAACCACTTCGCTGGATTATGAAGACTTTTTGTATAGTTACATTGCTAATTAAATTAACTTGGCAATGCATTTATTTTTCCAATTTTAAATTGAAACGTCATCTAGAAGGTAAAAATAATGAATAAAAACACTTTGATTTAGATCACTACAAGCGAAAAATTATATTAACAATGTTTCAGTTTACCTGAATCATCACTTTTTTATACATGAATTACGAAGATGGACATAAAAAGAGTTAAAATACATATAGTGTTAAAATATTTTCCGTTTGTATGCAAAACTGTGAACGTTGAATATTGGCAATACCTTACAATGTTTTTATTGTGTACACCATGTATGTGACCCTAATACATTTAAAAAAGAGAAAATATCTATAATTTAATTTTTTGAATATTTAGCTTCTTATCTTTTATTTAAAAATTGAAAATAAAGATTTCCAATTACCATCGAGAATTTCTTTGGCTTTTGCGACTTTATCGGGAAAATCCTTTGCTTTTCCATTAGCATCCACCAATTCTGCCGCAGACTCCAAGACACCAGTTTGTTCATTGAAGACATATATAACAAGTGCGCGGATGTTTTTGCTTATTCTGTCATCTTCGTCAGCTGTTTGTGTCATATCAATATTCTGTATAAAACAAATGAAATTGCACATTATAATAATACTAGTATGTACTATTGGGTTAGACTCTTGAAATTTTCTCACATATACCAGGCCCCAAGACCATAAACTGAAAACAGACTTAAGTCAAAATTTCAAAACAATATAACTTTTGAAATAATTTTGATAATGAAACAAAGTTTTCATCATATCTTCCTATTTGAAAGTGAGGCAAAATTGCAAACTATCAAGCATATACTTAAAATTAAATTCAAAATACTAAAAATCAAAATTTTGACTTCAGTCTGTTCTCAGTTTAGGGTCTTGGCCCTGATAATCACGTTTGACGTGCTTTCCTTTCACCCAGTATTGTTCACAATCGTGAAGAAAAAAAAAAGAACTTACCCTGACGTTAGAAATGTACTGTATTTTATCAACTGTGTTTGTAATCTTTGTCCATGGTAGGCGGTATTCACCGTGGATTTCAAGTACTCCACCGTTCTCTACACCAATGAATTTCTCACCAAAACCTGGTATATCATATTCCCGCAGATTCCCTTTTTACAAGAATAAAGAAACAGTTATTGTTTAATTTCACCAAGATTGCTTATAACAGGGAATTCACTTGGCAGAATAAGTGATATCCAATGCAAAAGACGTAAAGGATTCTCAGAAAGTATGTACTTTTAGTTTAGCGTACCAGTTACAACTACTTAAACATTTGTCCATTAAATAGGTCTCTGATATCAATTGATAAAAAAAAAGATTGTTGTTCTATAGTCTATACTTTTTTCTAAATTTCTTTGATGAGTAAAACAATATGCGTTTCTTTGAGTTATACATTTACCTTGCAGAGTTATATGGAGTTTTCCAGTAAAGGGACAATTTTCGGAGCCCACATGCATTTCTCCTTGGATTTTAATGTACTTGACACTTAAACTAATATCCATCTTGTCAGCCACGACCAACACTCCGCCCGCCTGTATGGTAATAGAACCTAGGGAGGGAGGAGAGGTGTCCAGGAGCAGTCTATCTCCATTCTCTATGACAAGGTCATCCCCTTCTTGTGGGACCTGAAAAAAGATTGATTGATTGATTGATTGTATACTGTTTAACGTCCCTCTCCAGAATATTTTACTGATATGGAGACCTCACCATTGCCGGTGAAGGGCTGCAAATTTGGTCCTATGCTCGGCACTCAGGGCCATTGAGCAGGGAGGGATCTTTATCGTGCCACACCTGCTGTGACACGGGGCCTCGGTTTATACGGTCTCATCCGAAGGACCGCCCCATTTAGTCGCCTTTTACAACAAGCAAGGGGGTACTGAGGACCTGTTCTAACCCGGATCCCCACGGGACGGGACTTCAAAGAGACAATAATGCAAACAGACAATGATGGATGGTAAATTCAGAAAATAATAATAGCTGGCAATTTAATGTTTAAGAACTACAGAGTGTATTCTATATAGAGAGCATTTTATCAAGCTAACACTAAAATGAAAGTATCATAATTTATATAATTCTAATTGAATCTCCTCCAAATATCACAAAAGCCTTGTATGGTTTTAGTGTTTTATATAATTTCTTTTCACATTTTTGAAAAAAAAAAGTTATTTTACATTTTCAACTCATATTTAAAGTCAAACATTTTTTAGAAATTCGGCAATTTTTTATTTTGATATTTAAGGAATAAGTTTGAAGTTTTTGGTTTCCTTTTCCAAGTATTATACACTTTATAAATAATTTTGAAATAGAAACACAATACTGAAATAATAAAAAATATCACTGCCATTTGTTGATTTGATATTTGAGGAATAAATTTGATATTAATTGTTTGTCATTTTATTTATGAAATCCCTTTTAAATAATTTCGAAATACAAACATAAACAAAACATCATCCAGAAAAAATGTATTCAAGTTTTTCAGAGTGTTTACAACTTTCAAAAAAGGTTCATGGTATTAAAATTTTTGAAATGTGCTATTTCTCAGTATTCATAATTTTGTAAAATCATGATGCTATAATATTATTGTACAGAAATGATAATGATAATTTCGCAAGCTAGTTGAAGATTGAGTTAAGTATTAAATATCAAAAAAGAAAGAACGAGGGCGCTTTTGATTGGCATTCGGCAGGAACCTGGGCGTAATTGAAAAGTGAAAATTTTATTGAAATGTCACATGAAAATTTAACATTTTTTTAATTTATCGGGTTCCTTTGCAACAGAAACGGAAAATATTTTCCCGAAATTGAGCTTTGATTTGCTAAAAAATAACTTGAAAATTGGCCATATCAGACATTTGGTACAAAATTGTACGTTTTGAAGCACATTTTTCTAAAAATTTTCTATGTCTGGGTCTTCTCTCCATGAATTTGAAACGTTATTTGTGTGCATTTTAATTCAAAGAAACGATTAAATTTTTTTAAAAAAATGGAGAGAAGACCCAGAGAACACGAAAAATGAACTTTTCCCTAAAAAAATCCAAATGTGTCAATGTGGTGCGTCTTTGTTCTTTTAAAGACAATTGTAAATGTGTAGCGGTGATAGCTCAGAAAGTTAAGCTAGCTGTTCAGTGCACTCGAAGCGAAAAGTTTTTGGATCGAGCCTGGCATGGGGCGTTAATTTTTTTTATTCAGACTAGCAACCAATTTTTATTGTCAGTTTCGTTTTATGTACTGATGTATTAAAATTTTGAATTGGATAAATTTTGATTCAGTTTGGTTCTCAAGCGAAATCAACTCTAATCTTCTATTTTATAATGTACATGTACAAGTATCATGCATATATGCATTATAAATATATTTTAGGTTTTATTTTTTGTAAAATATTACTATGTTATAGTACATCCTAGAAAAATGGACATAAATGTTACAATTTCACAATGTCTTTCAAACTAAATGAAAAAAAAAACCATGGACGTGTTTGTAAAATCTGACCAGGTATATTCAGCCAACCAAATCATGGACATTTAAACCATAAATGTTTCGTACAAATGATTCCTGCAGATCACCCGTCAAATGCGCCCATCTTCTTTAAATCTATTTTTCAAATCAACTTTCAAGAAAAAGTTGAGGAAAATTGGCCCGACTCAACACTTTTTTTAATCCTCCAGGAAGCACTAATTGTTTATGCATTTTAGAAAATTAACTTTGACATTCTTCGAGATGAAAAAATTGTTAAAAATATAACGACCCAATATCTTTTCATCCATGTTCACGAGAGAGGGAGAGAGATGGAGAGAGAGAGTGCGCAAACAATTATTATTATTATTATTATTGAAAGATTTTAGAACTAGCGACTTTGAGTAAGAATTCAGAACTGATACCTGTCCATTCCATGTTGCATCCTCTGACCATTTTTTCAGGCTTGAATCCTCATCTGGACAGAAAGACTGGGAGGCCACGAGGGCAAACAGAAAGAACAGCGTCCAAAGCACACCTGCTCTGGTCATCTTTAACCAGGTATTGAACAGGTATCTTGGTTCCAGGGATATATATATATATATATATATATATATATATATATATATATATATATATATATATATATATATATATATATATATATATATAGGCTAGGGGGGTTTTGGCCATGTAACATCACGTTATCCCTGAAGGTTGTTTTTGTGTCTAAATTGAACTGACACAGAAAATGATAAAATCTAAAGTCTATGAACTTATTTGACTGGTCTTTTGATTCATAGCTAGACAAATATTCATTACTTAAAGAATGATCACAAAACTTTTTATTTTATTGTACAACATGATACCTTTCTTTACCTTGTTTTTAATTATCTGGTCATCTTTTTTCCATTAAGGCCGGTCAAAGGCTTTGATCCAGGAGTTGTTTTGCTCCATCTCCACCATCTTCGCCATGCTAGCTGTCTTGAGTCGTCCTCGACTTCGTATCCCTTCTGGCGTCCACACGAAGGCCACAACACGGTCGTTGGTTTGATCTTTTCCTTAGCACATGGTCGATCCAATGCCATCTCCTTCTCTTCACTCCATGCCACTGATGCTTTCTGCTTATCTACAGCATTCTTTTACTTGCGATATGCTGCTGCCATGATGCTTTCTGCTTTCATCTACAGCATTCTTTTGCTTGGGATATGCTGTTGCCATGATGCTTTCTGCTTTCATCTACAGCATTCTTTTGCTTGCGATATGCTCCTGCCATGATGCTTTCTGCTTTCATCTACAGCATTCTTTTGCTTGGGATATGCTGTTGCCATGATGCATTCTGCTTTCATCTACAGCATTCTTTTGCTTGGGATATGCTGCTGCCATGATGCATTCTGCTTTCATCTACATCATTCTTTTGCTTGGGATATGCTGTTGCCATGATGCTTTCTGCTTTCATCTACAGCATTCTTTTGCTTGGGATATGCTGTTGCCATGATGCTTTCTGCTTTCATCTACAGCATTCTTTTGCTTGGGATATGCTGTTGCCATGATGCTTTCTGCTTTCATCTACAGCATTTTTTTGATTGGGATATGCTGCTGCCATGATGCTTTCTGCTTTCATCTACAGCATTCTTTTGCTTGGGATATGCTGTTGCCATGATGCTTTCTGCTTTCATCTACAGCATTCTTTTGTTTGGGATATGCTGTTGCCATGATGCTTTCTGCTTTCATCTACAGCATTTTTTTGATTGGGATATGCTGCTGTCATGTGACCTTAAGGATCCTTCTGAGGAACTTGGTCTGCAAAATGTCAATCTACTATTCCTCTGTCTTAGTAAGCTTTCAAGTATCACATCCGTTTGACAATACAGAGAGGACCAGACTCTTTCTACTGAGCTCTGTAAAGTTTTAGATGTTAACTAGCTTCCTGAAGGATGCACCAACCAGTGATATCCTCTTCGTCAGCAGTTCCTTCTCCATCCCTGGTGACATTGGCGCCCGAGTATGTAAAGCTGTCCAATTGTGGGCTTCTCTGTTTCTCACTTTAGGCTGTTTTCACTTTTGCCACAGGAGTCTGAAGTTTTTAAAATCGTCAAAAAAAAAAAAATCCGGAAAAAAATTTTCCTATCCCTAACTAAAAAAGCCCTTTAGTTAAGGGTACAAAAAATTTTTCCGGATTATTTTTTTTTTGATTGACGATAAAAACTTCAGACTCCTGTGCTTTTGGTAATCTTTTTGCACTTATTGGCATTCAATTTCAACTCAACTTTTGCAGAGTTTTCTTCCAGTTTTGTTGTCTTAGACTGAAGATTGGTCATTTCTGATGACGGTAGGGCACTGTCGACTGCAAAATAAAGGCTGTCAAGCACAGTGGTGAAGTCCTATCTAATTCCTGTTCTCTGTTCGTTGGCAGTCTGTTGCATCACCAAGTCTATCACTTTGAGGAACAAAAAGCCATTATTTATACATTAAAAGGACTACGGATTTTTTTGTTATTTCCTGATCATGGCGAGGAGCACACGGCGGGTGTGGCCGGTCAACAGGGGATGCTTACTCCTCCATGGCACCTGATCCCACCTCTGTTGTTTTGGAGGCCTGTGTTGCTCTGCTCTTATTTGTATTGTTTTATAGACTTTGATATTGAATAATGTTCGTTATGTCCATATCCTTCATTCATAAAATGGCTATACGAGAAAAAATCAACTGCATGTAGTTTATTTCGGACTATCAAACGTGAAATATAAGAAGTTGACCAACATTATTCAAGTGCAAAAGTACATTAAACAATGCAAATTTGTAGAAGAACAAATAAAGATCTCCAAAACATCAGAGGTGAGATCAGGTGCCATGGACGAGTGAGCATCCCCTGCTGACCTGTCATTTCCCTCTTGTTATCATTGTCTTGATTGGAAAAAGTAAAAATACGCTTAAACAATTTAGAAAGTAAATAATGATCTACAACTTAGTATGAAAAAACATTTGACTCAATAATATTTTTGTGCTGTCAACACAATTGTATTGACAATAGAACTTACGAAATGATGACATCAAGCGCCTGTGACCCCCCCCCCCACCATAAATTATATGTCCTAAGTTCTCCCATGAGAGGCAAATTGAAAAAAAACAAATTTTGATAATGATTTTCATTGATGGCATGTTTATAAATGTCACAGAATCATTTCTTTTGAAAAATGAAGCTTATTTCAACTTCTGTTATACGATAAAGCATAATATTGGGCATTTTACGCCTTAAAAACCGCGAAGACAATGAGACATTTTTCCACCTGAAAAAGGCTTCAAAGCACAATAATCTTAGAAATAACTTCAAGCGGAGTTATATAATGTTTATAGACATAACTCATTGAGACGTAGGCAGGTTACACAAATTGGATACAGTCTTTTATCCAGTAAAATGGCGTGTTACAACTTAATTTAAATTATTTCATATGAGCTTATTAATATCTGAAAGATTACGTCTTACTCTCACTCATCGTATGTATATCATGATAAAAGGAACATCAGTTCTTCACTAACCAGTTCAGTGTTAACAATCTACAAGATTGACGGTCCCATGGATAAAACTGATTGATAGAATTGATAGAAATACAGTGCAATCTGTCTAATCCCACGCCTGAATAATCCGACATACTTTGAATTCCGACGTTAAATATCTTCCCCATTTCACTATTTTCCCTGTTTTGCAACACTGATCAATCCGACACACTGTGTATTTCGACGTTGATTTTCCTACCAATTTTACTATTTTCCATGTTTTGTAACACTGATCAATCCGACACACTGTGTATTTCGACGTTGATTTTCTTACCAATTTTACTATTTTCCATGTTTTGTAACACTGATCAATCCGACACATTGTCTATTCCGACACAAAATTTGTCTTCCACTGCATGTCGAATTAGACAGGTTTCACTGTACTGTAAAATAAACAAAAAGCCCATGAAGCTTGTAAATCAGGTGAGCTAAAAATATGTTTTCTCAAATAAATCATTTTATTTGATACTGTTAGAAGCAAATGGATCGGTCATCTCATTAAAAACCCTTTCTGTGTCGGCTTTTATGAAGTCGGGCAAATATATTTTACTAGAAATTATTTTTTTTTATTAAAAAAGATTTTTTTTTCATTAAATTACTTACAGATATGAATTTAAGATTTATAATTGAGAAAATCGTTACCAAAAGTTTCATATTGTTATTAGAAAAAAAATCAATTAATTTATACATCTCAATGTACATGTATAACTCTCTTTAAAAGTACATTTCATGTTGGCATGTTTGGATACACTCATATTATTTTTTATCCTTGAACATGTTGAACTAAGTTTATACTAATTGAAAACCTTATATACATTACATTTAATAAAATAACACTTTTATCTATAAATCCATTATATTTATAGAAAGTTCCGTCTAAAGAGTTTATAATAAATAGCAAACAAAATCCGATAGATAGTCTTTATGTGAAACCTATTTGATTAAAATCTATTTAAAAATTCATTAGAATTTACTATAGTAGCTCCACCCTTTTTTAAGTGTTCAGCTGTAAGCCCTAGATGGTCAGGTGCTTTGTTGTTAGCAAGTTTACTGATGGCATTCTCCACTTGCATTTGTGTGATATCTGGGATCTCACTTCTCTTTTCAGGGTCTTCCAGGATTTCTTTGATGAGTAAACATTCTTCTTCATTTACCTGGTTGGCATCAGGAGTTCCAAGGCTATTGAAGTGTGTGTTCCAGCCTTTTAAAATTAGTTCATCTCCTTGTAGTTCGTGTCCGTCTAGGTATAAGGTGTCAGTTTCTGCGCAGTGTGAGGTACGTTGTTCTCGTACCAACTTGAAAAACAGTTTTTGGTTGAGATCTGCGGATTTTATTATATCGCTGTACTTCTTTTCACGTATGCGAGCTTGGGCTTGTCGCTGTTTCTGTCTCAGCGTTTTCTTTGTTGCCTTCATGTTGTTGAATAGCATACAGTTTTGTCCTTTTGGAGATCCTTCCATAACCCAGTCATAGTGTGCTTTCTTGGCTATCCTAGAAGCTTGTCCAATATTTTCATTCCAGGGTGTTCGTCCTTTCTTCTTTTGAGTTCTCTTACCGTTGGCTTTATGCTTTGGAATTGCAGTTTCAGCCGCAGTGTGTAGAGTATTGCTGAGGTGTACAATATCCAATATTAGCTGAATATTGGTGTTGTCATTCTGGCATTTGGGTTCTTCGTTTAAATATTCATCAATAGAGGATTGGTATCTGGAATCATCACATTTAATCCACTTTGGTTTATGGTATTCAGTTGTTGTAGGTGGTTCGGTCTTTGCCTTCTTGTGTGGTTTTATGTACATTTTCCCAGTGGTAAGGACATGATCGGATGTGTTGGTACTTTGCTGACCTCGTATACTGACCTGCTGTATACCATCGTCATTTTGGTCTTGTAGCTTGAGAAGGTAGTCAATCTGTGACGTGCTTTTGTTATCATGGTGAAAGAAAGTTGGTTCTTCAGGGTAATACTCGGGAGTGATGATGCTGAGTTCGTTGCAGAATTCCCTCAGTAGATTGTCCAAATTATTAGGGTTTGGTCTATGTAAAGAAGCGTTTAGGTCACCGCCCAATAGGATAGTGTAGGTTCTCCTGTATTTTGTTATAGCTTCTCTAACTACATCTAAGGAGTCTCTGTATTCTGCACTTGTATGTTTTCCACCTCTACATGGCATATAGACATTGATTATGCAGAGTGGTCTTGGCTTTGCATACAACTCGATAATAGCAATGTGGTTGTTACCTTCAAGGAGTGGTTTAATGTGGCTCGGGATGTTCTTTGGCCAGATAGTAGCTACGCCTCCATATCCTCTGATTCGTTCTTTTTGGCTAATGGGTGTATCTTCATCAACATACCTAGCATAAAAATCATGGTCATGCAGTATGTTTCCTATTTCCCTCTCTTCAAACTTGAACATCCAGTGCTCTTGGATTAGCAAAATGTCTATTTCTTTCAGTATCTCGTTGATGTAGACTGAGTTGCCTTTGATGTTCTGTACATTTAAGGTTCCAATTTTCATTTCCCTCTTTTCACAGTGTTGGTTTGGATCTATTTTTTGGTATGGTGTTCTTGTACTACTTTTGTCCTTACAGTTGGGTGCCACTTTTGTTGGTATAGTTGGTATAGTGGGCGACCGGTCAGATGGTTTGCTAGTATGTGTACTAGGGTGGAGGCTCGGCCATGCCCTAAAAAAGACTGACTGTTTCCTTGGGTTTTTGGGTTATCTATTGTTTAATCTGGTCTGGTAGGGCTAGTTGGTCTGTTATGCTCCCTTTCATCATTGCGATGTGTTGTTAGGCGATTTGAGTTAGTATAAGTCTGATTTAGGATGGTGATAGGCCTTGCTTCTTGACCTTTGCTGACGCTACTTTCCATCCTGGCTTTAGGTGTAATATTAGGCTCGTAATCAGGGTTTGAGTTATAACCATTCCTTTGGCTTCCCATCTCACTGTTATCTTGGTCAAGTTGTGGGTTACAGTTTCCTGTGTTCTCATTGTGGTTTGATGGAGTTTTCAGTTCCATACTTTTGTCAGTGTTCGAGATAATAGTAGTAAGTGGAGTACTAATCTTTTCCTTGTGCCTGTATGTAGTTGTAATTTCACTTGGTGTGCTAATCTGTCTTGGAGAAAAAACCTCAACTTCATTTAATTCTAAGCTAGGTTCCATTTTTGGCTTCTGTTGTGTTTCTAGTCTAGTGTTAATCTCATTTGATGGCGCCTGTGAGATTGCTGTGTTGTGTCCCCTTGTCTTAGTACGTGACTGGGTATTCAGTTTTGGTTGTAGGTCCTCCACATTAGCCACATATAAGGATTTATCATTGTCTCTACTCTCATTCATACATGTATATTGATCCTTCAAATTGTGAGTTTGGTTGGTTACTGCAGTGCATTCCACTTCCTTATTTATGGACTCTACAATTGTGCTTTTCTTGTCAGCTGGTGCCATTAAGTCAAGCTTTAAATTATTGTGGTCTATTTTAAGGAGAACTGTTTCCATCATGACTTGGTTTCTCTGAATCATTAGCTTCATTCCTTCCATGTCAATAAGTTGGGGTGGAGTGTTGGGAATTTGCTGTTGACTTAGAAGCTGATGTCTTTTGAGTGTGAGTATTTGTTTATCTTTTTCCTGTACCACAGTTTCCAGTCTTATTACTTCAGCCTTACATGCTGCTAATTGTTTTTTCTATATCTTCAAGTTGGAAGGCCTTTTTGGATTTAGGTGCCTTGGGAGGATTAACAGTTTTCCTCTCACTGTCTTTTTTGGTTTTCATAGCTGCTGTCTTGTTGGGTGCCTTATTGTCTTGGTGAGTGACTGTCATAACTTCTGAGGTGGTGACAGTTGCTGTTGGATTTGACCATTCGGGTAATGTTGTCTTGACTCCTGTTTCACCGTTAGTATCTCTTTCTATGTTAGGCTTTGGGGTTGAGGTTTGGTCTCTATATGGCCTTTGTATGGGTGTTTGTCCATCCGTGGTAGTCTAGACACCAGTCTCCTCATCAAGTGAGTACTCGTGTGCAGTCTTGTTAGGACTTGTCTGTGTTTCCATATTATAGGTTCTGTCATCAATGCAATCTTCAGCTTCGTCTCCCCTCATACCTAGTGCAGATAGCTCAAAAATATCATCAGTTGTTTGACAGCTATTACAGTGGTATTCAAGTTGATTATTGTCCCTGTGCCTATTATAGAGACTGATAGGCATTTCATCACAATAGTAGTGGATCCAGTTGAGGCATTTTGTACACTCGATAACTGGTCCGTCCGCAGGTCTGTCGCATATGTGGCATGTTGACAGAGTTTGGTCCGCTCCTGTTGTGATTGGCATTATACTATTAGGACAAGAAAATTCGACTCTCTGGTTCCCAGCTTTCGTGATTTGCAGAAAGGCTTTTGGAGTTGTGTCTGTTAGATCTGTTGCATCTTGCCTAGTATTGCCTTCTTGGTTGGATTGATTATGAGCAGTTTTTATGGAAGTGGTTGTACGTGTATCTACTAGTTTGTGGTTTGGAATGGTAGCAGAACTGTTTGTCTGGTTGATTTCAGCTTGATGGTTTTGCCCCGTAATAGATAGCTGGTGCTCTTGTATTGCCTGGAGTTCTAGTTCCAACTGTAGTCTGATGTCTTTGTTGGAGCTGTGATAAAGTGGATCATTCCTTACACTGCAGTTATAACTCTATGATCATTAAAATAGAGGAGGCTATTTTTGCCATTAATCATGATCTTTGACTTAGTTAAATACAGCATGATGCAATACTGTAGGGTCTTTCTTCCTCTTCCTGAGGAGTGGCTACTGACTTGGATTTTCGTCTCTACTTTAGTATTAGTATGTTCTTCTCTGGAAGCGACTTTTACAGAATATGGGTATGTAGTGTCGTTTGACATCTGTTTGTAGTATTGAGTTATCTTTTCAGTGAAAATGCTGTAGGTGTTGGGCTGCATTTCAAATATGTGGTTACCTCCTTTGTCAACATATGCTATCTTAGCAGGGAGATCACATGAGCGTATCTTCCTCTCTATGTTCATTTTTTGGTTCAGTTTGTATTTCTTGCGTTCTTCAGTTTGTTGCGTCACTTCAGTAGCGAGATTCGCTGGTGTTTGTCTCCTATCCATAACCCTCTGGCTTTGCCTTACTTGGTTATCGTCGATGGGCCCTCTGATATCGAGATCATGTGCCATGCTGATTTTCTCAGGATTAAAAGAGTTCATACACTAATTAAAAACTAGCTGGCAGTACTATACTAAAAGCTCGGGTTCACGGTATGTAAAATAGTTTATGCACACATATATAAGACAAGGACAGTACACTGGTTGACCACACAATCAAAACAAAGCGGCTACAACTAAAAAACTAAAAGCTGGTGATAAAATGTCTCTGATAGGCCTTAATACTAAACTGCAAATTCTGAAAAATAATTGCTGAAAAAGTTGCATCATTGTGTTCACTAGTCAAAACATTTAATAATGACGTCTTCGATATGAAGTTCGAAACGTGCTGGTCTCGAGAAGTTTGGGGACAAATTTAGGGTACGGACGAATTTAGGGTACACGACGATAAATGTGGTCGTGTACATACCTCGGGTAATATGCAATTGCTATATGCAAGACGGTCGTGTAAATAGATTTTACTTAATATCTGTGCACGACGGTCGTGTATATATCTCATTACTTTGCAATAGCTATTTGCACGACGGTCATGTAAATAGACTTTCCATGTAGAGTGCACGACGGTCATGTATATATCATCGGCCCCGTTTTTGGAGTTCGTCTAGACTGTTTACATAGAATATGCATTGTATGATGTCATTTAAAATTGTTTGACAACAATAAAAAACATCCTCCGAGATAGATTTATACAGTTATATCGATTGTACGATCATTTAACATGCAGCTGATGAAGCCCTCTTTTGATATGGCTACGCTTCTGATATGAATTTTGGATTAAAATTAAGCAAATATCCTTCAATTCACCTGAAAAAACTTATCCCCTTCTCTTTTCCTCTTGCATTGTCTCGATTAGTACACATGTACACACTGCAACTACGCACCATTCGTGAATTAAACGTGTTACATAGGCGTCGGAACCGGGGGGGGGGGCTAGGGGGGGCTTAGCCCCCCCCCCCCCCCCCCGACTTTTTTCCCAATATATACTTAGTATAGACATTGAACAACACAGATACGTCTTAGTATAGGTTAAAATTGGGAAAAGTGATAGTGTTTGGAAGAAAATTTTTGGTACTGGAGTTCGAACTTTGCCCCCCCCCCCCCCCCCCCCCCACGAAATAGGATTTAGGTAGATAGAATGTTCTATCGTTAAAATGATATTGTCCTACGGACCCGGTTTAACGATAGAATTCGTTCCGTGTATTCGTAATGTAGCAGAAAGAAACACGGGCAATAACTCGCATAGTGCATTTACTAGGAACAATCTAGAGAGTTCCGAATGTAAACATGGAGGTAATTTGAATCGAGAGAAAAACGTTGAGAAAATGACCATTGGATTTTCGTATTTATATGGATTATTTTTTGGGATAAAAGGCATAAGCAATCTCAAAAATGTTTGTTATGATTAATTTGCAAGTTATTTTCAGTGCAAATCCGTTTGTATCCTTCAAAATCGTTTCGGTGCGATTCTGCAATTTTTTGCTACATTACGAGGATATGGGTGGTATTCTAACTGTGGTGAGGGCTTGTACCGACACACAGTTAGATTATTCTAACTAGGATTTAGGATTTTCGTGTTTGGGAAAAAGACATTTCCTTTTTTTTTTTTTTTTTTTTTTTGCTGGTCAGGTTTTTTTGGAGGTACAATTTTTTTTTCTGACACTTAGCCCCCCCCCCCCCACTTTCAATTTGCTTCCGACGCCAATGTGTTGAGTAAAGTGAAAGAAGCGTTTTCGTTAAAATGAAACTTTGCCGTGCGGAATTGTTTATGCGGGTGTAGGGTGGTTTCGCGCCGATAACGTGTTCGCGCTGAGTGGTTTCGCCCCATTTATCTACAGGTAAGATATGGGTAGCATACAGTATGGCTTCCCCCCGATTACCTGTAATTATATAACTTAGTACCTTGTAATTAATTGACCCCAAGCGTTAATGTCGTGTGTTGGATAATTATCCCATTTTGTATTAATAATTAAAGTGAGGCCACTTTTTGCCAAATTATTACTTTATTTTAACTTTGGAATAATTCAGACAGACTGAATGTCAAAGTAAATACATGTATTTCGCTGACAGATAAGTGGGACCATAACAATGACGGACTATAACAAACTCGGACCATACCGAAGTCGGACAATAGCAAAATCGGACTACCGTATATATCTGTTTAGTAATTACAGATCCCTGTGTTGAATATGGAATTAATTTGTATTTTGTTAGATATATTAAGTTGAAGACTATAGATATGTATGTTTTACAAATTAAAACAATTTTCAAAGACTTTTTTTTCAATTTTTATCCATTTTACAGTTTAAAGTATATGTCGTAGAATACGCCTGCTGAGAAAATGTATGTACCTGTCGTGTTATTTTCCTAATTTCTTATGTAAATATATATTAGTAGATAAATTACTTTAAGGCTTAGAGAATATTTGGACGCAGAAAAAGTAACTTAATTTAACACCCCCACCCCCAACCAACCAACAATCAATCTTACGTCTATGTTAATATTAAATCATTCACTTTATCATTGTGTTTTTCTTTACATTTACTTACCAGTACAAGTAAATTTAAAAACGAAAATGAAATCAATTATTTTTTTTTACCTAAAAACATTAATTACATCATCTATAAAAATAATAGTCCAAATCTTCTTACAGAGGAAAGGTCTTGTCAAGTAAGAGTAATGATCTCTTGACTTTGAATATAACTGCAAACTTATAAGTTAAGATTAATAGCAATGCGTTAGATAATATATTTTCTCATTTTTTATTTATTTTTCTGTTGACGACTAAATACTATATAAATATATTAATCAATATAGCTTTCAAAAAATAACCAGGCGTGTAAATTTTCCCGACAGGCATTCTCAACAACATAGGAAATCTGTAAAAGCAAAATACACTCAAATTGTGCTTTCAAATTGCTTTTGTCTGGTTATATGTATCTATAGGGCCTATAAAAGTCATATATCTCTGTAACAAAATATAAATATATTTGGTATTTAAAAATTGCAAATATCACAGCGGGCATATAGATTTTCTCTGAAGGTGTTTATAACTGTTAACCGTAGATTTTTTTTTTAACAATTAAGATGGGGATAGCTGCAGATCTGTAGCGTTATTTTTTTTTTATATATTTTGTCTTTGACCATAACAAAGACAATATATAAAAATCCATAACACTACAGATCTGCAGCTAAGATGGGGAGTGCCTATGGTATAATGTAGAGCAAGGATTCTTCTGCATGACGATTATTCTTTATTCATGTGTTATTACACTTCCCATTTCATAGCATATACCTTTTCTTTATTATATCTTGATATATTTATATCTATATATATATTAATCAAACGACTATCCGATAAGCGGTATCTTCAGTTAATTATACAGTAGAAACCAATTTGGGCGAATCCATTCGGTGCGAACAAGAGATGGGCGCGAAACCACCCGGCGCGAACGGGTAATCGGAGCGAAACCACCCGCATTCTTTATGCGCATGTGCGGAGAGCAGGTCCGCAGTTACCGTGAAGGACCTTATTAATTTTAGCCAGTCGAATGCAGTCTATTTTTAGCTCCTTTTGATGTTACTTTCATGTGCATTTCCCATAAAGAATGGACTCTACAAGCAATAATTCAAAATCACAGTAAGTGTAACACATTATCAGTTACAACAAAGGTATAGGATATTGTTGTTATTACTTAAAATCTCGCTAAAGTGTACAATTGTATAATATCTTTAAAAAATTTTCTACTTTCGTTTTAAAATATATAATAAACAAAAGGAAAATCGTGATTCTGTTCCTTAAAAAATATTAACTTCGCATCACAAAATTCCCTTTGGAATCGATTCTATCTTCATGCCGTGTCTAAATTACATGTACAACCTGCAAAAAGAAATGCACAATCAATGACTTCTTACAAGGACTTCAGATTTGAATTTTCTGGTACATATTTACAAATATGTAACATAGTCGGTTACACATGTAATAATCAAGATATCGTGTTGAACCTTGTGTTTTCATTTCCTTCACGTGCAGACATTTAGATAAAATCACATAATTAAGACCATAAAAAACTAATCTTTTTTTCGGAACAGTTTACACGATTCCACAGCTGTTCCATGAAGTTTTACAGAGTTATGACTCTTTGCCACACAGATGCATTGTCCGTTGCTGATCATAAAACAATTGTAGGCTATAATTTATATTTTTATATAAATATGACATTACAGCCAGGTCTATTTAGACAAAATAATAAAAGATAATTTTTCAACAGTATGCAAAAAATGATTTGTTTTATGTGAATAATTTAATTTCCTATTATGAATCATTCTAAGGAACATATAATATTTTGTATAACATAACTTGCCTACTTCACAATGAGTTACGTCAAAAACGTATTACTGCGCTTGACGTTATTTTTTAAATAATGCTCAAATTGAAACCTTTTTCCGGAGGAAATATTATCTCATTGTCTACACTGAAATTAAATTATAAGGAATGAAGCTTATTTCAACTTATGTTATCCGATATAACAAAACTTGGGGCAGTTTACGCTTTTTTATAAACCGCTTCGCGGTTTATAAAGCGTAAACTGTCCCAAGTTATGTTATATCGGATAACATAAGTTGAAATAAGCTTCATTCCTTAAATAGTATTTGAAATCTTAAGAGACATATTTAATTTTCTTGTTCACTCGTAAATACAATGTTTTAACAGGCCATTAAGTCAATGCTAGTAAATGTATTTAAATATTTTTTTTTATTCCAATTAATCCATGTGTACCTTCAAATTTAATACTTTCAGCCATTTTCAGCTGTCTTTGAAATGTGTATGAACTAGAAATCTCATCAGACATCATGGCAGAGAAAAGGCTTCCTGTTTTTGTTGGTCCTGGTCTCCCCGTGAGTATAATTAAGGAGGCTAGGGGGTCAACAAATAAACCAAAAATTAACCACCAGAATTAAATTATTTTTTAAAATATGGTATATTAAGCTGTCAACTTTTATTTGGCAAAGAAATATTTCAAAAATTTTATTTTTAAAATCTGATCATTTTCTATATCTTTATATGGAGCTCTTCTTTTAAAGGAGATAGAAATGGTCTAAAAATGGCTGCCACACCCCAGCCTCGTTAACTGAACATGTTGGCACAGCTTCTTTTTGTCTTCTGTATGATTTCAGTCTGTTTTTAGGTATCCTGAGTAAACTCAGGTGACCTATTGCTATCCGTTTTCGTCCGTCGTCGTGGATCGTCCGTCGTTCATCGTGTGTTAACATTTGAACATTTTCAGCTTCTTCTCTGCAACCACTGCACAAATTTCAACCAAATTTGGCACAAAGCATCTATGGGTGAAGGGGAACAAAAATTGTGAATTTCATTATCCCTGCCTCCCTGGGGCCTGAGGGGTGGGGCCAAATCCACTAAAATTAATGCAATCTTTAAAAATCTTTTTCTTTACTCCTGGACATCAAGCAATCAAACTGTTTGCATGATTGTAATCAGCATTGAATCCTCTACCAAAATTATGAAATTCATGGCCCTGGGGTCAGGGGTTCTAGTGCTAGGGTGGGGCTAAATAAATATGTAGTGAAAATGCATTATTTCTTTGAAAATCTTCTTTTCTGCTCCTGGGTATTAAATAAACTAACTAAGTACAATGTTATGATGAGCAAGAGTGCCTCTACCAAAATTGTGAAATTTATGGCCCCAGGGTCAGGGGTTCTGATGTTAGGGTGGGGCTCTATTGATTATATATAGTGAAAATAATGAATTCTTTGAAAGTCTTCTTCTCTGCTCCTGGTTATTAAATAAACTAACAAAGTACATAGTTATGATGAGCAAGAGTGCTTTTACCAAAATTGTGAATTTTATGGCCCCAGGGTCAAGGGTTCTGGTGTTGAGGGGGGGGGGGGGGGGGGCTCTATTGATTATATAGCGAAAAATACATGAATTCTTTGAAAATCTTCTTCTCTGCTCCTAGGTATTAAATAAACTAACTAAGTGTATAGTTATGTTGAGCAAGAGTGCTTTTACCAAAATTGTGTATGTTATGGCCCCAGGATCAAGAGTTCTGGTGTGTGTGTGTGGGGGGGGGGGGCTCTATTGATTATATATAGTGAAAATACATGAATTCTTTGAAAATCTTATTCTCTGCTCCTAGGTATTAAATAAACTAACTAAGTGCATAGTTATGATGAGCAAGACTGCTTCAAGCAAAATTTTGAATTTTATGGTCCAAGGGTCAGGGATTCTGGTGTTGAGGAGGGGGGGGGGGACTCTATAGATTATATAGTAAAAATACATGAATTCTTTGAAAATCTTCTTCTCTGCTCCTAGGTATTAAATAAACTAACTAAGTGTATAGTTATGATGAGCAAGAGTGCTTTTACCTAAATTGTGAATTTTATGGTCTCAGGGTCAGGGGTTCTGGTGTTAAGGCAGGGCTAGTTTGATTTTATATTGAAAATATGTGAATTGTTTGAAAATCTTCTTCTCTGCTCCGAGGAATTAAATAAACTAACTAAGTACATAGTTATGATGAGCAAGAATGCCTCTTCTAAAATTATGAATTTTATGGCCCCAGGGTCAGGGGTTCTGTTGTTAGGGCAGGGCTCTATTGATTATATAGTGAAAATACATTAAATCTTGGAAATTTTTCTTCTCTGTCTCTGGGTATGAAACAGATGAAATACCTATATAGTTATGATGAGCAAGGGCCCTTATCTTGCAGAATTGTGAATTTCAAGGACCCTGGGTCAGAGGGGGGGGGGCTCTACTTATATACTGAAAATGAATTAATTGTTTGAAATCTGCTCCTTTGTATTTGTAAAACATTTATTTATTTTTTGATAGGCAATTTTAAGAGTGCCTTTTTAAAATTTGTGCAATGTGTGGACCTAGGGTCAGGGGTTTATGTCACAGTATTAGGGGCACTGCTGATTATTGCTGAATATTACTGATTAGTTGGAATACATTTTTGTTCCCCTACCCTGCATATTGGTATTCAGTAACCAAGCTAAGCAACTGCTAAGTGTACTGTTATGATGATCAATGGTGCCTCTTTCAAAATTGTGAATGCCATATATATATCATCTGGCTTAAGTTAAAACATGAATCAAATTCAATAACTGGAAAGTTGTTGCATAATGCTCAGGTGACCTATTAGGCCCGTGGGCCTCTTGTTAAAGAATTCATGTATTTTCACTATATAATCAATAGAGCCCCCCCTCCCCCCCCCCCTAACACAAGAACCTATGACCCTGGGGCTTTAAAATTCACAATTTTAGTAGATGCTTACAGCATCTTGATAGTTTCACAATGTACTGTGAAATTATCATACATAGGTAAATATGTTTTTTTTTCAAAATTCAATATTTGTCCCTGGCACTGTTTTCCTTTATTTCTGTGTGTCAATGGCATATGAAGTTGAAAATTAAAAAAAAAATATTTTTGTATTTTAGGATCAGATCCAATCTCTACAGGAAGACCAGCGTGAAAACACTCGCCTACAGAGGGAGCTGCAGCAGCAAATGTCAAAGGTCACCAGCGTGCGGTCAGCCATGGTTAGAAAGAGACAGAGTCCTATGTCTACAGGGAGTGAGTTCATAGTTCATGACATCAGGCACGAGGAGAGGCAGGAAGGGGAGGTAAGTCAGTCATTAATCAGAAGAGTATGCTAAGAAATAATTTCTTTCATAGATTCTTTTAATTATGGAAAATGAGATAAGGCAGGTATAATCTTTTACATGTATACTGTAAACCAACTTTTTAGGTCACCTGAGTAAAGTCAGGTGACCTATTGCTATCTGTTTTCGTCGTGCGTCGTGCATTAACATTTGAACATTTTCAGCTTCTTCTCTGCAACTACTCAACCAATTTCAACCAAATTTGGCACAAAGCATCTATGGGTGAAGGGGAACAAAAATTGTGAATTTCATGATCCCTGCCCCCGTGGGGCCTGAGGGGTGGGGCCAAAACCACTAAAATTAATGCAATCTTTGAAAATCTTCTTCTTTACTCCTGGACATCAAGCAGTCAAACTGTTTGCATGATTGTAATCAGCATTGAGTCCTCTACCAAAATTGTGAAATCCATGGCCCTGGGGTCAGGGGTTCTAGTGCTAGGGTGGGGCTAAATAAGTATATAGTGAAAATGCATTGTTTCTTGGAAAATCTCTGCTCCTGAATATTAAGAGCCATTCCACTACTAAGTCAGAAACGTAATGACATTCCCATTTTTTACTGACAAACTTAGAAAATTACTGACAATGTGCTGTCGTTACTGTAAAACTTAGACAATTACTGACCTTTTTACTGTCCGTACTGATAAACTTAGAAAAGTGCTGACAATCTTAGTCGGTGCTGAAAAACTTAGACAATTACTGACCCGTTTACTGTCCCTGCTGAAAAACTTAGACAAGCGCTGACATTTGCTGATAATTACTGTCCCTATTGTTCTCGCTTTCGGGGAGGCTGCAGTGGTGTGAAAATGACTGTAAATACTTTGTATTTAAAAACAGTCTTTTTTTTTTTTTTGTTGATGAAAAAAAAATCCCTGGCAGTTATTATTTTTTTAAATTTAAATATTATTGTTATCTGTAAAATAATTCAGAATATGAATTGAAATTAACAATGCGTTAATCAAGTTTAAATTTATGTGTTGAATATATTTATCCCTGTTCAATTAAAGAATTAAAATTAATTAATCATCAAGTTAATTTTCATCTATTTACTTCTTTGCAGAGAGATATCTGACTTTAATGTAAAGCCCCCCCCCCCCCCCGGTTTTCACGATCGGAAAGTTGTTATCAATTTTTTTTTTCATAAACAGGACAGATGTCTCTTGCTAAAAAAGGAAATCTTCTAAATATTGAATAATTACTGATAGGTTATTCAGTTTCCTAATGTTCTCGGACATATCTGTACAAGTCATATAATTAATGTAACGTGAAGCGATCACCCATCCAAAGGTTAAACAGGCTCGCCGTTGCTTAACTTGCCTGAAATAGTGGGAGACTCTAACGCATCACCAGAAAAGCTAACTCACTAGCGAAGCAGTGTAAGTTCCCTATATACTGTCTGATACAATTATATACCCCTGTTTAAGATTTCCGGTTTCATTTGCTCATACGGGAGTTCCCCTATTGAACAGTGCAGTGTTCAATATCTAAACTTGTACTATGCCTTGTTAATTTTGTCACTTAAAACATTATATCTAAATGAATGGTTGGTTGATCGATTACACAGGGTTCATAAGTACTCAATATCTGTAAGTCCAAGACTAATAAATAATTATAAGACTAGTAATAAAAATTCATGTACTAGCAATTATAGTGATCTTACGGAAAATATTTATATTTACTAGGTCAGCAGTAAGACTAATATTAGCAGTAGCACCATTTTTCTTCAATATTTTTCTTCTCTCTCTCCCTCCCTCTCTCTCTCTCTTAAAGGCAGAGATTTTAAGCAACGCCTTCAAAAATACCTGGTCTGGGTAGCCCTGTCAATCAAGTGCGTGAAAGTCCATCATTGGATGCTGGAACTTGATTGACAGTTACTTACTGGTGCCTGTGTATACCCTGTACACCTTCATTGAGACTCATGGTGACCTTCTAATAAACTTTTGATCCTTTGATGTTTACTGAACACGATATACAGAATTACTGTATCACTATGAAATTTTATAGACTGATAAGATATGAATTAAATATAACTTTTGTATTTGGAAGGATATTAATATAATATATATTTTTAAAGCAAAAAAAAAAAAATAAATTTAATTGCAAAAACTTTTTTTCGAATGAAATTTTGATATTATTTTTAAAATAAATGATAAAGTGGAAATATTTTTGATAAAGTTCAGTGATGCTCAGTGTAAAATAATTAAATTAAAAAATAATGTT